GGATTCACAACACTTACATTTTGATAGAGGAGGAGAATTGGGGTGAAGTCTGGAGCATTCAAGCAGCTCGGAGAGGGGAAACCTAGATAGGACGCTGAAGGCAGTAAACAGTAAAATCAGCATGATTCCAGGGAAAGAGGTAATAAGAAGGGCAAAACGTCATCAGAAATAATTGCCACATACTTCACTGTGGCCTAGAAGTCAACCTGTTCTGAAGTCCCATCCTTGTCAAACAATTTTCATGTAGCCTTTAGTGGCTGCTGAAGATAACTTTCTATTTTTGAGATGATAACTGATTTATAAATGTCTCTCTTGTTGCAGAGAAAACCTGCCTTGGAAACTATGGGAGGAATGCAAAATGCGGGTGACAATATTCTGAATAAAGAAGTGCCCACATTTAATCTGTCTTTAATCCTGTTACTAGGGCTCAGGATGCATGTCTTAACCCAGTACACAGAAATCCATTATGGAACGAAGTCTTATTTTCCTCTCAGAATCATGGTACCCAAAGCATATACAACAGTCAATTTGGTACAGTAAGGCAAGAAATAAGAGGCATATAAATTAGAATATGAGAAGTAAAATTATCTCTATATGCAAATAAAATAACTATCTATGTAGAAAAACTTAAGGAATAAATAAAAAAGCTACTAGAACTAATAAGTGAATTCAGCAGATTACAGGAAAAAAGGCTAATATACAAAATGCAGTTGTATGCCCCTATGGCAAGGAACAATCAGAAACCAAAATAACATTGGGGCACCTGGGTGGCTTAGTCAGTTAGGTGTCCAACTCTTGGCTTTGGCTCAGGTCATGATCTCGTGATTCGTGAGTTTGAGCCCTGAGTTGGGCTGTATGCTGATAGCACAGAGCCTGTTTGGGATTCTCTCTCTACCACCCTCCTTCCCTCACTCCTTCTCTCCCTCCTTGCTTCCCCCCTCTACCTCTCTCCCCTACTCGTGCTCTCTCTCAGAATAAATAAACATTAGAAAAAGAAATTAAAATAACATTAACAATGGCATAAAAAATAAAGTACATAAATCTGATAAAAAAGAGCTGTAAGACCTATACACTGAAAATTACAAAACACTGCCAAGAGAAATTGAAGAAGACCTAAATAAATGGAGGGATATATCACATTTATAGATCTGAAGACTCAATATTAAAATGACAATTCTTCCCAAATTGATCAATAAACTCAACATAATCCCAATCAAAATTCTGGCAGCCCTTTTTGTATAAGTTGGCAAGCTGATTCTAATATTCATATGAAAGACAAAGAATCTAGTATAACAATGCAAATTTGAAAAAAGAACAAAGTTGAAGAACTTTCCCTATCTGATTCAAAGACTTATTGTAATCAAGACAGAATGTTATTGGTATAAAAACAGGCATACAGATCAGTGGAAGAGAATGAAGAGTGAAGAAATAGACTCACTAAATAAAGAAGACTGATTTTTCAATAAAAGTTTAAAGGCAAGAAAGGATAATCTTTTTAATAAATGGTGCTGGAACAATTGGCTAATCATATGCAAAAATTTAACTTTGACCCATATACCCCACAGGCAAACAAAAATTAACTCACTGTAGATCATAGACCTGAATGTAAAACCTGAAAATTAGAAAATTTACACAGGAAAAAAATAGAAAATTCTTGTGACTTTGGGTTAAGCAAACTTAGATTTAAGAAAAAAGCCAGCATGATCCAAAAAAAAAAGCAATAAACGTTAAGTTGAACTTCATCAAAATTTAAAACTTCTGTTTCTCAAAAGACATTATTAAGAAAAGCAAAAGACAAGCCACACACTGGGTGAAAATGTATGCAAAACATCTGTCTGACAAAGAGCTTGTATTTAGAATACCTTAAGAACTATTACAACTCTGTAAGACAAATGACCCAATTATGTTTTTTAATGAGCAAAATATTTGAATACACTCTTCACCAAAGGATATATGCAAATGATAAATGAGCACATGAAAAAGGTGCTCAGCATCATTAGCCATTAGCTATTAAGAAAATGCATATTAAAACCACAATAAGATATCATTTTATAGTCACTAAAATGGTTACAGTTTAAAAACACTGACTACATCAAGTATTGCAAGGATGTGGAAAAACTAGAACTCTAAATAAAACATTGCAGGTGGTACAGCCAAAATGGAAAACAGTTTGGCAACTTCATAAAGAGTTAAACATACACCCATCATGAGACCTAGCCATCCCACTATTAACGAAAAGGTTTTGTTCACACAAAACCTTGAACACAAATGTTCTTGACAGCTTTCTTTATAATCACCGATAACTGAAAACAATCCATATATCCCAAAATGTGGTATATCCATAAAACAGAATATTGCTCAACAATGAAAGGCAACAAACTACTGATAAAAAAATCACAGACGAGTCTCAAAATAACTGCACTGAGCAAAAGAAGCCAGAAAAAAAAGTGTATACAGTATGATTACATTTATACATAAAAGTGTAGAAAATGCAAACAATCCATAGTGATAAAAGCAGGTTAGAGGTTGCCTCAGTACTGAGATAAAGGGAAGTGCTGAGGGAGGGAGAGATTACAGTCAAATAATGTTTGAGTGGTGACTGATAAATTCATTACTGTAACTGCATGATGATTTCAAGGGTAAATACTTTTGTCAAAAGTAATCAAATTGCATAATTTAAATATGCAGCTAATAATCCATCAAAGTATACCCCAATAAAGCTATATTTTAAAAGCCAACCTACAAATATAATTTTTTTAAGCAGGAGGATAGTATTAACTGCATTCAACTCCAAGCACCCTAAATATCTGTTTAATTTTACAAATCAGGTTAAACTCAGTAGCTTCTTGCTTAAGTGAAGATATTTTTCAAAGCTGTTACACCAACTTGCAACTAACGCCAAATTCTCTATGAAGGAAAAATTGAGCAAACCACTCAATTGAATTAGCTTGGTAGAAAGAGCTAAGATCCTTGTTTGGACATTGAATGGATCTCTCCCTCCAATTTCCAAACATCTGGCTCTGAGGGCATAATCCAATTATCCCTACAAAACCTCTTCAGACCTATGTTGAAATGTATTCATTTCTCCTAATTTTCAAAACCATAAAATATTTACTGTTCACAATGACAGTAATAGCTGTATCAACACTGTTACAATCCTGATGTACTGTGCCAACCCTTTTAGCTCTATGAGGTCCCTTTCTAATGATCCCATTCATAGCATCTGTATTTTAAAATCAGTTATTCTAGGAATGCTTTTCTTTTTGTTGGCTTCTTTTTCAATTGTACCTCTTGAATTTATAAACACAAGAGCAAAGAAATTAAAAGATATAACCACATTTCTTAAATGGTTATTTCCTCTTCACTATTTAACCAGCATCTACCTAGATATTCTGATTTATTTTAAAAGGAAAAATCCAGGCAATAGAAATCACGTTTTGTTAAGTTATGAACTGTCATTCCCATTCATCTTCAGTCCTTTATTCTCTTCCCACTCTCTTTGGAATTTGCCACTTCTGGCACATGCTCTATACACAAAAGGCACAGTCAATTGATTTCCATTACAAAAGTAAATGGAGTGCTTCTTGCTTAGTAATGTTTGATAATCCCAAAGTATAATCAAGAGTTATAAATACACTCCTTAAAAAAGGTGTTCATATAGTGCCACTTTAAAAAAATAAAGAAAAATCAAATATATTTAATATATGGTATTACTTTTTTAATTTTAAAAACACTTGCTTAGAGAGTATTATGCTAAGCAAAACAAGTCAAAGACAGATACCATGTGATTTCACTCATATGTGGAATTTAAGAAACAAAATAAGTAAGCATAGTTAAAAAAGAGAGAGACGAACCAAGAAACAGACTCTTAACTACAGAGAACAAACTGATGCTTACCAGTAGGAAAAGAGGTGTGGAGACAGGAGATAGGGATTAAGGAGTGCACTTGTTCTGATGAGAACCAGGTGTTGTATATGTAAGTGTTGAATCACATAAATTGTACACCTGAAATTAATACTGTACTGTATGTTGAATAACAGAGATTTAAATAATGACTAAAAAAATACTTGCTTTTAAATAAACAAACAAACAAATCACTTGCTTTGGTGAGGGAGGAGAAAAGGAAGGACAAGATCAAGGAAAATAAAAAAGGAGAAGATAAAGTAGCAGCTTAGATTGAAGGTTCATAGAGCCCAATATACGGAAAATGGTAAGTGTCCAATAAACATTTGTTGAAAAAATACGTAAATAAACAAGGCTGATTTCACTACCATTTAATCATCCACCTCCACTTTAGTTTACTAGCATCACATCCATCATATCACATTGTCTCTTGAGCAGCAAAAAGCAAACTTTGAGAATCCTTCAAATCTGAGGAACATATTATGGTCAATTAAGCAATTTTGGTTAGTAAATTTAAGAGAGTAAATTTAAGAAATAGAGAATGAATTCACATAATTAAAAAGTATTCAATCAAGGATAATACTAATTAAAATTGAAATCCTAGTTCTGTTGCTTTAGGGTCCATTGTGAGAGGTGCTACCATCTTAGATATAAGGTTTATGTGTACCAACCAGAGTGTAATCAGCATGAATCTGCAGAATTTTGAACTATAAAATATAGAAATTTATTACATTTTCATGTACATAAAGTAAATTAGCCAAGTAGGTAAGTACACCATGGTAAATATATTTTGTGGATATATGTAGGCAAATTACTTAATGAAGAAGTAAAAATAATTAAATCTCCCGGTAACATGAACTGGTATTTTTGAAGTACTTCAAAGACTTAAGCCATCTCCTCTCTTAATGCAAACTTTCCTCTGAAGCTATATAAATACTATACTTTTAATAAATCCTTTTTCCATAACTAATAGAAAGATAATATTTGGCTCAGTGTCTAAATTATCACATGCTTTGAATTTTAACAAGATATAACAAATATGCTAGGATTATGTTTGAATTTCATCACAGAGCCCCAAGTTTTGGATGTTTGCTTACCTCGTAGTTTAAAGTACTTTACATGGTTTGCCACAGCCTCTGTAACACTTTCATCTGGGCAGGTTTTTACACCGTTAGGAAACAGAATAGATCGCCTTCTTCTGAACAACCACTGTTTCTCAGCTTCTCTGTGGTCCAGAGGTAGTTTCTTTTCAGTAGAAACAGAAGGCGCTCTTGATTCTGAGTCAGTCAGGAGAAAAGAAACTGCAGTCTTGGGTTCTTGGATATCTTCTAAAGATATGTAGGTTTGTGCTAAATAGTGAAAGCATAGACAAGTGTTCTGATAATGAATGAAGATACAGAATGAAAAGTAACAAAGAAAAACTGACCTTTGTGCCACATTTGGTTTTTGAAGTCAATGCTCAGATTATAAACATGCATGTTTAAGGAGTAAGCAGTCAATCTTTTCTCCATCTAATTCCTACTCCTTTATTTCAAGATTCTTAGTTATTATATCAACTATATCCAATTTCAACACAAGAAATAAGTGAAAGTCTGAAGCAGAAATTACTAATGAAGAGGAAAACCAAAATTATTAAGAGAGATTTTAAAAGTTTAAATGAAGCAATATTAAAGCCTAACAGTAGTATTTGATTCAACTTATTACAATAGTATCAAATAATGTTATTTTTAAAGAGAATATACTACAAAGAAAAATTAAAAATACAATATTTTTAAATACCTGTTAATGATGGAAGGTTTCCTTCTATCACAACAATTATCAAAGTAACCAGAGAAATCTTCCCAAAATGAGGAAACATAATCATCTGGGCCAAAATCAAAGGAATAAGGAGAGGCCAAAATCCTTGAGCACCCAAAAAAGCCTTGAAACTTCCAGTAACAAAATATTATAGAAAAGGTCTAACATTTAAAAGCTTATGTTTGAGAACTGACAACCATTCCAAAACCATTATAAGTTAGCTTAAATACAAATGGTGTCCTTTCAAAACACCTCTCACTCCTTTTCTGAAATAAGCAGCACACTATGAAAGCAGAAGAGATAAGCTAATTAGAACAGATGGAGAGAGACCATTTCTTTATTCTAATCTAGTCAGCTAAGCTCTTTACAAATGCTATCTTTGCCTTTAACAGGCAGTCCACTTAAAAATAATGCTTCACATATAATTCACTTGAGTTTTATAATTTTTCTGAAGCCATTAGTTAAAAATAATACTTCACATATAATTCACTTGAGTTTTATAATTTTTCTGAAGCTATTAGTTGAACCTGATAGGTTCACATGATATCTGGGTTCTTCTAGGCCCTATGATTTATAAGCACAAAATTTGTAAGCCCAGATTCACTATACCTACTTCAGAAATACCAAGCTACATATAAAACTAGCTCTAGTCAGTTTTGTCATAGTTACTGTCTTGTAAATCTCTTCTTGAAAATCTTTGGTTATAAACACTTAATGTCTTCTTCCTTTTATATAAAATGGGATAGGAATATAAAGCTAACTCATGATACAGCTGTTGTGAGGATTAAATTAGTTAATACACAGAAAATACTTAAAATAGTGCCTGGCTACGTGATAACTGTGCCGCTTAATTAGCTATTAAGTGGTCCATGATGTTTATGTACATTGGAACTCTTAACCAACGAAGGATAATTGTTACCACAATGGGACTAGATAAAACTCTTTGTATTAGAGCAGTTGTTTTTATCAAATATACCTTGTAGAAAGCAATTAAATTAGTCAAAGTCCCTGTGGAAGCCAGGATTTACTATCAAATAGCACTTGATTTGTCATAGGCCTCTGGAGAAGTTCTCTGAAAAAGTTTTGTTTTTATTATTTATTTTGGAGAGAGAGAAAAAGAGAGAGAAAGCACGCACGAGTGGGGGAGGGGATATGAAGCAGGCTCTGTTGACAGCAGAGAGCCCGATGTGGGGTTCGAACTCACAAACTGTGAGATTATGACCGAAGCCAGAGTTGGGCACTTAACTGACTGAGCCACCCAGATGGCCCTGAGGAAAAAAAAAAAAAAACTTTTGTAAAGATTTAAAGCACATTTCTCTTGAGAATCCTAAAATAGTCCTGACCCCGATTTCTTCAGCCCTCAAAGGTATGCACTCATTTTTAAGAGAAGAGACCAGGTAGGTGGGTGTAGACTATACCAGCACAAGGAAGCCACATACCCAAAGAAGCTTGTCTTTTAGCAGCTCTTGGGCAAAGTTTCCAAATTTACAGACATTTAAGTTCAGTTACAAGAAAGTTTCCAAATTTCTAGACATTCAAGTGCCTCTAGAGAAGGAAGGAAAAGCCTATGCACGTCCACTCACAGTTCTCCCAGTCCAGACATGGTTGAAAAATTACAGGTCGCTTTCACAATAATAATAATAAATACTGAATACAGATGGCATTTTATATTTATTTTAGTTCAGTACATTTCCAAATAAACATTACTGAAAGGAAGAAAACCCAAGATAATGTGCTATGAAGAAAAGGTTTAAGCTTGGTATTAAGCCAAAAGCAATTATGGCATAAATGAACAATTTTACACAATTAAAAAGTAGGTGACACTGGAAAGATGACGACAGCACATAGATTGGAACAAGTTTAGAAATGGCTCTGTATGACAGAACCCTAATTCCCCTAAAACATAAAAAGAAAACAAGCTGATTATAAGAGGCATTAAACTTTTCCTAAATCCTAGTTAAGTAATTAGATATAACCAAAAAAAAAAAAAAGGTTAACACTTTTATTTATCCCAAAGTTATAAATTAAAAATAGTGCTATCTTCTCTAGGAAGACTTTGCCTGTCCAATGACAACCCTCTTACTACCTGTCTTCCACATCTGTCTCTCTCTCTCTCTATCTCTCTCTCTCTCTCTCTCTCTCTCTCTCTCACACACACACACACACACAGAGCAAGGCTGAACTCCCTCTTGAGCCCCCAAGAAACTCTATGACCATTTTTACCAGCAATATTAAAACTATTCAAATGTCCATTTGTACCATTAGCTATAAATGACTCTGGAATAAAAGCTGAGATTCATTGTTTTGTACCTAGCAAACTACCTGCTAATAGTACATGCTCCAAAAACGTTTTCTGAACAATCAAATTAACTATACGCTTGTTCAGGAAGAAAGAAAAATTAATCTAAGCATAAGTTATAGGATATGTACTGGGTATCATAAATTTAACAATTTATTTCTAAGAATGGCTCATGGTTCTTAAAAAAAAAAGAAAATTACACCTTAATTTAATTAATTGAAAACATGTTTAATATAAAATGTTGATATTCTCAACACATTATTTCCACATGAATTTAGGAAAATGAATTTTAAACAATCTTCAAAACATGATAAAGGACAGTGGTACCTCTGAAAAACATACAGACAAAAAAGTTAAGAAGTCATAAGAAGATGTATTACATACTTGCTTTCCCAGAGTTAGATGTACAAAATAATTAATAGTAATTTTTTTAAAATCCCCTCCCATACACACACATACTAGGAATGAAAACATGTAATTATAACCATCTTTATGGGAAATCTCCAAAAGACAAATGTCTTTAACAATATAAAGATGGTGACAAGATTAACAAAAATTCAAAAATACTGAGGCTTAACTGACAACTTCAAATTCACATGATTTTCAAATAAAATGTTCCAATTTTTAGCTTTATCTTAAATTGCCTTTGCTTCATTGCTATATACAGTTAATAATATAAATCCAAGAGATACTTAAAACAGAAGATTAAAATAATATTCTTAAAAAACATGTCTTTTTAGTCTGAGAAAATACAATATAATTATCCCCTCAAAATTTTCCTGATAACATTAAAAGGTTGTGAAGTTCTAATCATATATAATACCACCATCATCACATGAATTCAAAACTTTTACCTGAACGTTTAATAAAAACTTATGCTTCATAGGGATCATAGGTCTCTAAAAATTACAATTTAAAAATATAAAAGCAATTCGAGCAATCTGGCTTTGCAGATAAATACCGGGTAAACAGAGCTATAAAATTATACATTTAGTTCTAACAATTAATAAATAAGATTTTAAGGGTATTTTTTAATTAAAGTTATGAGGACATCAATTTTATCTTGGATACTTACAGAAAGTGTGTACATATATTCTAGGATATGAGAATAGAAGCCAATATTGATATAGCTATTACCTCAAAGAACTAAGTTGAGCTACATATGTAATTGTTAAAAAACTCTTTTGGGTGGCTTTTTTTTCCAAATTTCATTCTGAATGATTGGACTAAATTCCCAGATCCCCATATATGACATCAAAAGAAAAAGAAAACATATTAACAATCACACCAGAGTACCAATTTCATTAGGCAAGAGAGAAAAATAAGCTGCGCTTTGAAAGAGTCTATTTTAATCATCTTCCTAACATCATGTCTTCTTTTACACTATACAGAAGGGATGCCGTAAATGGCATTTTCTGAAGCCTTAATACTAAATTCTTCTTTAAAAAAAATACACAGTATTCATATTGCATGCTTGAGCCGCAAAGAATAGGATTACAATATAATGTGACTTGTCAACAAATGTGACAAGCACTGGGGCTGGCACCAGGGAGGACCTAACTCCCTTCAACTCCCAGTTATATGGAAGTACAGATCACATAGTTTTATTATCTACAAAAACATTCCCACATTTACATATGCTATTGCATAATCAGAAGCATATTTAATCAGAAAAATATCAAATATTTATGAAATTTTAATTTCTATCTAATAAGTTTCTCTATATTACCCCCATTTTCCACTGCATCTATGAGATCCCAACAAGCTAATAATATATCTTATTTATTTTAAATAATGTTCAATGACTTATAAAACTACCACAAGTTATTTTCTTCTCCGTGAGCTGACTAACAAAAGGCTGGTAAGCCGCTTTCCAGTAATCTTATAGAACATCTGTGTCATGTTTGTACAGATTAACTAGCTACTGCTGCCCTTCTGTTGCTGTAAATGAAGTTTCAAAATGAGCTCTCGAATATCTTCTCGTTTCGTCTTTATTACATGACGAGGAAACCATTTCTCCAAATGAATTGGAAGTTCAAAATTAACAATAGGATCCTAATGAGAAATAAGAAAATGAAATCACTTTAGCGGCAAAATTCAAACTTGTTTTAATGTCATTTTACAAGAAATGAAAATTCTAACCATTTATTTAGCTTTTTATTTTTATGTTAAGTCATCTCTACACCCCACATGGGGCTCAAACTCAAGACCCTGAGATCAAGTCGCATGCTCTTCTGGCTAAGCCAGCCAGGCACCCCAAAAAATTGCTAACTTTTTTTAAATAACAGCTTTACTGAGACAGAATTCACATACTATACAATTCACCTAAAACTATACATTATCATTCCTCCCCAATTGTATCATAAGTTCCAACTGTATACTATAACCCTCACATGCTTAAAGTAACTTTAAGAATTCTCCAAACAAGGGGCACCTGGGTGGCTCAGTCAGTTAAGCAGCCAACTCTTGATCTCAGCTCAGGTCATGATCTCATGGTTCAGTGGGGGTGGAGAAGGAGCCCCATGCCTCTGTACTAAGAGCACAGAGCCTGCTTGGGATTCTCTCTCTCTCTCTCTCTCTCTCTCTCTCTCTCTGCCTCACCAACTCATGCTCTCTCTCTTAGAATAAATAAACAATAAAATTAAAAAAAAAAAAAGAATTCTCCAAGCAAGCTTCTAATCAAAAATACCCTGCTTCTATACTCACTTTCATTATACCACACCAAAAAACGGGGCTGGTTGCCAAGACAACCAACAATGTAATTAGAG